TTTCCCCAGCTTTTAAATCCCGTTTCTGCACAGGATTCCCCCCATGTGATAAAGTCATGTAAGAAGCAGAGTAATGTCTGTGCACCCCTTACTCATATCCACCAAATAGGAATATTAGTGTTTCTGGGGGAAAATAAGGAGAAAGGTCTAAAGGGCTTACTAAACTTAATCATTAAACATGTACATGAAAAGGAGTGCTTTGCGCTGCTCATTTTATTTTGATGGAAGATTGGGCTTCCTCCACTCCCCCCCTCGTCTTCCTCCCAGCCCAGTGGGCTAGTGGCTTGCTCCTTCCAGAAGTAATAGCCAAAGTTTGGAAAGGTAACTTTATCAGACAACAACTCCTAAAATCTCCTAGCCTACTAGGGCAATTAATAATAAGATAATAATAATTGCCATGCTGATGGGGGATTCTGGGAGTCGTTTTCTCCAAGAGTAACTTTTCCTAGCTCTGATCTGATCACTAGCAGAGGGCTTTTGAAAATAGGTTGAGGGATACATTTCTAAATTGGATTCATAAAATTTACTCTAAACAAGATGCCCAGTTACTAATTAACAGTGAAAAAATTCAAAAATTTGAAATTAGTAAGTGAGTGAGACAAGGATGCCCTCTCGTCCCCTTGTATTTATTTTGACTTTAGAGATACTGCTCATACAAATCAGAAAAGACAATCAAATTAAAGGAGTATTAATTCATAAACAAAGTTACAAAGTTCGAGCCTACGTGGATGATGTTGTTTTGACTTTATCTAATCCTGTTACTTCTATTCAAAGAGTGGTGACTATCTTAAAATTATACGGGGAAGTATCAGGATACCGAATTAACAAAAATAAAACTGTGATGTTAGTAATGAATATTCCAAAGAAAGATATAGAGGTTATAACTACATCATCAGGTTTTAAAATTGAAAATAAAGTAAAGTACCTAGATATATGGCTCACTAATAAAAATTTGGGTCTGTTTAAAAATAACTATCAAAAAATTTGGAAAGAAATTAAAGAGGATTTTAGAAAATGGGAAAGTTTGAGTCTGTCTTGGTTAGGTAGAATTGTGCTAATAAAAATGTCAGTACTTCCAAAATTGATGTATCTCTTTCAAAATATCCCAATTATCGATAATATGGCACCACTTAAAGTATGGAATAAAGAAATTTTTAAATTCATTTGAAATAATAAAAAACCAAGGATTAAATCGATAAACCTTTTAGATACCTCTGAACGTGGTGGGCTGGCCGTACCTAATATTATATGGTATTATGAGGCTTGTGTATTCGAATGGATACAAGATTGGTTTAAGTTGACCAACAAGAAAACTCTAGATTTGGAGGGAGCGGATCTACAATTTGGCTTTCATGCCTACTTATTTTATGACAAATATAAGAATGATAGTAAATTTAAGAATCATTTTATACGAAGGGCCTGTTTGACAGTATGGCTGAAATATTAAAAAAATTGGTGTAACAAAATTCCATATTAGGCCTCCCCTGCAGAAGCCATTCTGATGAAAGGTCTATATGATGAAGGCAAATGGATAAAATATCAAGATTTGCTTAAAATTGAGGGAATGGAAATCTCAATTAAATCCCAGGAACAACTGATACAAATAGGTTTTAAAACTAATTGGTTTATGTATAGGCAATTATTCGAACAATTTAAAGTAGATTACTATTCTAATTAAATCGGACATGTAGATAAAAAATTTGAAAAAATTGTAACCAGAGACTCAAGAAAAATGATATCTAAATATTATAATTTAATTAGGGACTGGGAGTTGGAGGAAAATACAATAAAAGATTTTATGATTAAATGGGCACAGGATTTGAATCAAGTGATTAAATTAGAAACATGGGAGAAAATTTGGACAAGGACATTAAAATATACTGTAAATATGGATTTAAAAGATAATTTATACAAATCAATGTACCGATGGTATTTAACTCCGCTTAGGTTATCTAAAATGTATACCAGGACTAACCCTTTGTGTTGGAAATGCAAAGCAGATATTGGCTCATATCTTCACATGTGATGGAATTGTAAATTTGCTAAACAATTTTGGAATAGAAATCAAAGAAATACTGAATCTATGGATTAAATGTGACTCAAGGATTTATCTTTTAAATATGGTTGATGATGATATAGAAAAAAATAATGAGAAGCTACTCTTTTTTTAATTACTACAGCTAGATTATTGTATGCCAAATATTGGGGGGGGGGAAGATATTCCTACTGTTGAGGAATGGAGATTGAAGATATTTGAAATATATGAAATGGAAAAGCTGACATGTTTAGTCCAAAATGATTCACAGCGAGAATTTCATAACAATTGGTTTCTTTGGTATCAATATATGGAGAAATTGGACTCAGACTCCAAGTCTCGCTGCTTAGTTTTCAAGGAATAAGTTTCTAATTTATATATAGAGAGAGACAATTTGTAATTCAATTTGGATATTACATAAAGTATTAAATATAAATATAAGTATAAATAGAAATGTCACAGCCTTCTTAAATAAATATT